AAGAAGTTATGTCAAATGACCTCAGGAACCCCTCATTTCCCAGAAGTACCAAAATTTTGAGACACCCTGTATGTACAACATTTTTCCTTCTTACTTCTTCCATTGTAGGAACTCATCATCGACTTCTTCAGAGCGATCTCACTTTACACTGTGATGAAGATCCGTTGCTTTCCCTTACATTACTTTTCCAAAATTCATTTATTCATTTTCAAAAATTCTCCATTTCCTCTGTGCACTTCTGATTTTTCTTTGCTTTGTTCCGATTCACAGTTGCGGTCACTATGATAAATTGCTTGCTCTTCATTACTGGAACTATCCGTATGATCTTATACATTGTTCAGTTTCTTCTTTCAAGAAATGCAGGAGTGCATCCGTGAAATTTTTTGTTGACAAATTTATTTAGCTGACCTAAATCAAGAATTTTTCAGTAAGTTCAATTTAGATGGTTTACAAAAAATAATAATAACAATAGTAATAATGACAATATGTATGATTATAATAGGAAGACAATACTTACGTCAATAATAGGTAACATATTACAAGCACTTTACACGCCGAATTAGCTTTCTGCTATAATGGCAAACAAGGAATTGCCACAGTAACCGGGTTTGTATAGTATTTAGAGAAACACTGATTTCATCTGTCGGCGTTTCAATGTCTCTTGAACACTATGTCTCTTTGTGGCAGAATGTCAATTGAAAAAACCAATCAGAATTTAGAGATTAGTGGAAAATTTGAGTATTCTACAGTATGTTGTATCTGCTAGAGTATATCTGAATTATGGTACGCACAAATCTGTGAAACTTTCATTTTGCTTTCCCCATCATGATGGAATTGCTTCGCATCTAGATTTGTCTTATGATTCTTTTGAATGTAAAAACTGAATGCCGCGGCGCTATAAGCAATAATAAACATATTAAGAATCAAAGACGTCTAAACGATGTTCTCATTTGAAGCTAGAAGTTATCAAAAACATGTTATCACAAAAGTTGTTTGATACAGAGAGGGTCGTTAGATGGTATAAACAATATTACTGCAAGTGTAGTGGTGGAGAAGATATTGAATTAAAATTAATTTTTATCCATAATATAGCAGCATTTATTGAGACGAATACAATGACCTACCGTATAATATTATTCCATGTAATAAAATAGCAAATGAAATACATATGAGACCAGGTGAATGCAAGTCGCTGCTAGCTGAACTCTACTCTGCTATGGCTATTCAATATGTTAAATAATGCCAATTCAACTGTGCAGTTTCTTATTCTAACAGTCAGTCTGAGTAGTACTTTAAATAAGTCAAGAAATTACAAAAAAGAAACAAAAAGGAAAACAGAAAAGGTGCTAAAACATGTTGAAAGATAATTTTTGAAGAGAATGCAAACATGTACTCTTCGCAATGATGGATACGTTGAAGGACAATGAATTGAATAGCGGTAAGTGAAAATTACAATTGATTTATGTACAAGTTTTTACAATATTCGCATCTCCTCCACAGGAAGACCACCTGACATAAAACAAAAATATCGGTTAGAAACCGAAAGGTAAGATGCTTGGACATTGTTTAGAGCATTGATACAGTTAGCCGATACAATCACGTAGAGTTCAACTAGCAAGTTGTATTCATGTGTCTCGTATGAATTTCATTTATGTCATTTTTCTACATGGATTGATATCTTGTGGTAGGTCATTAACAAACGCTGCTATATTATGGATAAAAAAATACTAGGTCTCATTTAAGAATATTAATTTGACTTTAATATCTCCTCTACAATTACACCTGTAGGAGTATTGTTTATACCATCTAACGTCCTCCTCTATACCAAACAACTTTTGTGAAAACATGTTTTTGATAGCTTTAATCCCTCGTGAAATATCCCTGCCAAGCAAAGGAAACAATTTTGTGAATACATACATGTATACATATAGTACTTATTGAGAGGAACCAAAGTCTGAAGAGTACCATGAGTCTTAAAGTCAACTGTTTACATAAAAAACAATGCTAAAAACAGCATATAAAAACTATATTTCACAACCACTACATCCAAAATCAAGGTACAATATTGGCCGGGTAGTGATTCTTTATGCAAAAATAGGTCGGAAAAAACGGTAACATTTTTCCATTTAAGTTCGCGTAGCTTGTAGTATGACAAGAAGTAGAATTGCTATATCATAGCCAGATGCACCACTTGATTCCTATTCAGTAGTATTATTTTTTCAACCTAATTTTTCTCAAAAACGGAGCCTAAGATGAAAAAATGTTACCCTTTTCAACTTATTTTTGCATGTAAAATCACTGCCTGGTTAGTTGTACCATGACTTTGGGTGTGGTGGTCATGACATATAATTTTTATATGTCGTTTTTAACATTGTTTTTTAGACCAATGGTGCCTTTCAGACTTTTGTTCCTTTCAATCAGTGCGATACGTTATAATAAAAAAAATTGAACTCTTTGACCTTGACTTTCAAGAATAAGGACAATTTCGTGGTCCATTTTTTTAAGCAGATCTTCACCAATCCAGATATGTTGAATCATACTATGGTGATCATAGCATATAATTTTTATACACCCTGAACATCGAATGAAACTAAAGAATACATCTCTAAATAGCCAAATTGTTAATCATTATTGGTGTGGTAAGAAAAGCATGTAACTATTAGATTTTATTTTGCTATGAAACGATTTATAATAAAAATATACAAAAATAGAGAACTACAACTACTATATTACGAGTGACATGAGGTATCGCTGCCACTCTACATCACCTTATATAGAATATTCAATAAGTAATAATAATATAATAATACTATATAAGTTAGGACTCTATTATCATTACCATTAAAATACAAGAGTCTTTCCAAAATGATACATTTTTTATCTTGAAAATCGATTTTCTTAAAAACTACATTATGATCTTAATGAATGAATAATTAAAGTAATATGACTAGAAAAGTGTAAGTTATAACTATTTGAATTATTTTAAATATATTTGTTGTTACCTAGTACTTCAACAGAACCAGTTATAAAGCTAAACTGGCATTTTAAGAGAAATTCATTTCATGTTAATTTTCTTTCTAAAATTATGGACCGAGGTGAGGGCTTAGATGGAAATTAGATTAATGTATTGAATTTATTTATTTTTATTATATTTCAGACCACCAGTAATTGACCAAATTTTTTTTCTGTTTGACTTACGAAGATGACATTCTTTACAGAAGTAGCCACGTGTTATATTTAAACATGATATCAACAGATGCACCATAACCAGTACCTGTGCAATCTCAAACTGTCACCTATCATTTAGAGTTTATTTATTAAAGAAACTATATTTGAAGGAACTTTTCGATAAAAAGTTAACTGCAAATGAAATACAACTAAGCTACCTGTCTCGGTTCCTCTTAAAAATAGTCTGTCACTAACACGAAGAGTATAATATCTAGCCACAATAGTAAGATTTTCAAACAATTTAAAAAAGGGTACTATTAAATGAATTTATTTGGTGATGATACAATAATACAATAATAGAAACAATAAGTTCTTTAGCAGATATTCTTATGTTATCTGATATGAACAGTTCATTTCATTCTTATTATTATTACCAATTTTACGAGTTTCAGCCTTTTCCTTCTTTGGTTTTTATATAATTGTGCATTTTGTCGTCTATATTTCTGTTATAGCAGTTAATACTGATCGTATTATACATAGACTATAGTGGAGGAAGTCTTTTGATTATGCTAGTTATAGACTTATTAATTGTTAATGCAGCTTTACATTGTATTATATTAAAATATATATTAAAATCAATTGAAATATTAACCAATCAACAACAAGATTCTATTTTTTTTTTAGTGATAATGAATCAAGTATTTGCAATTTTTCTTATAATATGTTTTTACATAATGTAATAGGTGGCAAACTGAAGACATGCACTTTTTGAAAAATGGTACAAATCAAAATGTTTATAAATACACTGGATTGTTTTTTTCATGTCTGAGTCTAACATAGATTTCAAGACGGCAGCCTCCTCTTTACAATCATTTTTTAAATTTCGATGCATAATTTTTTTTTATCACTAAAATTGAGCTTCGAATGAAAGGTGTACTGCCTACTTTACAATAACGCAAGATTTACGGAGGCTCTACATGACCAAACTTGTTCCTTGCTTCAATTTCATAATACAACTAAAAAAAGTTGTACACATAGTTTTTAGGGGCCACTGTAAAGTGGAAACTTCGATTTTCTCATCCATGGTAGATTTATTCATGAAAAAAAATTCCAATGCTTTTAGAGATGTTTCAATTTGTATATTTTTGAGTAAACCTATGTCTTCAATATTCCAATTGTTATGAGTTTTAAAAGCATGCTAGGAAGAACTGATCAATGAATTTTAATGGTAGAATCTTCAAGCTTCAAAATAAGTCCCGATTTATTATGGTATGACTCCTTTTTATGAAATTATAACACTTCAAATATCGACAATTTGTCAAAAATCTGAAATTCAGTGTACAAATACTTTTTACACTGACTTTATATTGTAAAGATTTGTGCTCAAACCATTTCGATGACATATAAACAAATTAAACATTACAATTTCCACTCTATAAACAAAAACAATAAGTTGCAAATATCATTATTTGAAATGACTGAATAAGATTTACAATAAATTTTTAAAAAATTTTAGATTTTTATATTTCAGGCACCATATTAGAATTTTTCACTTAAAAATACATATAAACTCGATTATTATAAGATTATTATAAGATGAATGTCCTTATTATTTAGAAAGATAACCAAAATGTAACCTCCCGTGGATGAGTTATGAATGAAAGTGTATTATTTTTAAGTTATACAAGTGCTTATAAAATGTAAAAAAAATTTTTGAACAAAGTGTACGTTACCACTTATAATTTATACTAATATTTCAAATATATTATTATATGACAATGCGGTAAATTGTTGCGGTAAATTGTAACATAACCAAGAATTTGATTACATACCAGAACTTGTAAACATTCCACATCAACTGATGGTAGACCCCAATCATTTTTCCATACATCCAATTCCATTTCTTCCATATCGCAAAACAGCAATCACTTTCTTAATTTGTTAGTTAACTAAAAAATAATTGTATCACAACAACCTCTGCTGTAGCTGTTCCTAATGCTTGTATGCAAACAGATATTTCATCATATTATTCAATCATAGTCATTTGCTTAATTATAATGTTGAAACAAACCAATACTAAATTCTTATCTCATTTTTACACATGAAATTTATGGAGTCAAGTAAAAAAACAAAAGTGGTAGAAATTTATATATAGGGTGTTCAATATCGCCCGCCCATCTCTATTAAAACGAAGGAGGAAATATTTTTAACTTCCGGTTATAGTGTGTATTTAAACTAGAAAACGAAGTTTTCAAATATAGCAGTGTATTTA